TCAACTTTGTGAGGCTCAGATTAAAGACAAATTCACTATGTTCACCACACTTAATTATAAATCATATTCTGACGTGTTATCTCATGATCAATAAAATAAATAGATGGTGATAGATGACGACCTTAATGAGAGTGAAAGACATTTGCTCATATTAAGTTATTAAGCGAAGGTCTTTAATTAAGGTGAGATGGCCCACATGATCCAATGTTAAACACTGGCAAAACATTTTTTTTTATTTCTGTCAATAATAAAATATTGTTCTAACCAAAACATCACTTTAACACAAAGTATTGCAAACAAGTATAGAAAGTTGATCTGTAATCTCTTTCACATATTTGATATTTGGGTTCCTATTTTTAAATCACCAATTCTAGTCTATACTTTGTTGAGGTACATTTCCTGTGTGGCTTTTGGCAACATTTACAATTTGAAAGTTCGGCTTTATCAGTTAAATTGATTCTCAAACTCAGTTAATAAAGCATTTCGTGTTTTGAATACATTTCAAATGATGTCCATTAACTGCTTACCACTAATGGAAAATGACACCACATGCATAACAATTGAAGAGCCCGATGTGCTGCGGTCATCCTAAGCAGACTTTATGTGTTGTGCAGTCGCCCCCTGTATTTCAACCGTTAGTAAGTCACTTACTTATATAATAACGTTCGAGAGCAGAATGTCACAAAGTGCTTCACAAAAGGCAACTGAAAAAAAAATAGACTTTGAAGAGAAAAACATCAAATGAAAGCAAGAGTAAATAAAACTGCACAAAAGCAGGTGTTAACAGATGGCCTCTCTGGATAAAAACTGTACAAACTGTGATCGATCGTTACTCTGACCCCTCAGCATCCTTGAAGAAATGCTGTATTGAAAGAATCTCTCAACAGAGGCTTTTATGTTGTTCACCTGAATGTTGCTGCATGCGGCTGCGCTCTCTTTTAGCTGCTTAGAAAAGTGTTTATTTAGAAGGAAGTGCTCACATGTGAACATAAAAGAACAACTTAAGCAGTCTGCTAATTTCAAAAACACTGAAACTATCTGAGGCCTCATACAATGTGTGAACACAGGTGGGAATGTGCACACTGACGATGGCGTTTCCCTTTTGTGCCGCGCTCTGCTCCAGTTCCATCCGTCACATCACACTGACTCCCGTGTCCCACAATCCTCCCTACGGTCATTCATCACAATGTCACTCAAACGCTGACTCGGGTCCCTGGATTTCCATGGTAATATCATCCCTTTCCTTGTGTGTGTGTGTGTGTGTGTGTGTGTGTGTGTGTGTGTGTGTGTGTGTGTGTGTGTGTGTGTGTGTGTGTGCATGTGTGTAATCATTCATGAATGCATATATTGTGGTGTGTACCCCTTTGAAGGAATGTGTCTCTGTGCATGGATGAAAGTGTTTTTCTATTTTTGGAGGCCCTTTTTTGTTTCCCTTTCCTCTCAGAAGGCGCTGGAGATATGAAGGTGTGTCGCTGCAGTGACAGAGAGAGAAGAGATGGAGGGGGGGTCCACAGAGAGGAGGGGGGGGGCTCAGCAGCAGCAGCAGCAACAGGCAGAAGGCAAAGAAGATGACGGCACCTTCTAGTAGCCTCTCTGTCAACGTGATTATCTTTGAACCCTGATTAAGGTCAAGGGCGTATCATACAACATGCACAGTGGTTACTAAGGGGAGTCAGATAGAGACTCATTGGGCTGCAGTGCAAGGCATTGACAGGACCAAGCTAGCTTTGCATTATCTGCCTGAAAATTCAACAGAAGGAAATTATATAAATGTTCTCCTGGCAGACTTGTAGAATTTCTGCGGCTCACTGAAATATGAATTTAAACTCTGATTAAAGCAACATGCATGAATAGAAAATCACTACAGCCAACATGAGATGCACGATTGTTGTTTTCCACTTAGCTTTTCTGCATTGAGTACCTCCCAGGATTAAACAAAGATATCAATCCGACACTTAAACTGTAATGTCTTACATAACACACAGCTGTGGTGCAATAATGCTGTTGAATGCTCTGTTAATAACAACAGTGTCCACTCGTAAAATTAAAGACCTAATCTGAGCAGAACGGATCCCAGAGGCAGCTCCACAGTGCGGTGAGTTGTGTGTGTGATGTGTGCGTGTGTTGTCCATGCTTCACTGGTCAGTTTTAAAGGCAGACAAACGGAGAGAACTCTCGTTAATGCAGATCTGTGAACAAGCTTCAAATGGAAAGTCAGGCTGATAGTTAAGCAGCTGCCCATCACATGACCTTGTGCCATGATACAAACACCATGTAATCACTCTGCTCCATAGAATAAAAGAATCGAAGGAAAAAGTAAAAGCTGACTGCAGCTTTGAATGCATTGTTCAACTCTACAAGGAAGTTATGTTTTTTTATTCATTTTAGACACTTCAACGAGTGAAAAGAAATCCAGTTCCAGCTTCTCAAATAACAAGAGCTGCTTCTCTTTTCATTCATAGTAAAACTGTTTTGTTAAAGACGTTTGGGCAGACAAAAGTTATATTTCAAGACATGACCATGGGCTCTGCCAAGGTTGTAATTTTTCTGACATGAAACAAACGGCTCATTAATTAATGTAAAAAACGAATGGACAGAATAACAGTTGCCCTATGTCATTGCAGAGTAGTGCAAAAGAGCACAGTAGAAAACATTCAAGTAACTCTTGTAAGCTTCCAATCCTTCCGCGGGATGACTGTCCCTTTCCCCGTTGAAATAACAAATCACTGGGTGTTTCTCAATCTCGAGTAAAGCTGCTCCAGAGCCACTATTTCAAGCATACTACGTCATCGAGTGCCGCCGAAGAACTGTTCCAATGTCCAGCATACTTGGAATTCTACCGAGGCCGGCATACTTCGTTTGGAGAAATTTCGAGGCTGCACATGTGTAGACTCCGCGGTCTTAAAATCCCCACAATGCTTTGCGCACGGACCAATTTCCCCAAATCTGTGGCGGAAAATGTAATGCGCGGCCTCTCATATGACGGACACCTGCACACTTGCTAGCCTGTTCCACTCTTCGTTTTCCGAATGCCAGGAAGTATTCTTGCCTTGCTTCTGAAGCAAGACGCTCGGAAGACATCTGCTACCAAGCAAGCGTACTCGACATTGAGAAACACCCACTGTGTCACCAGGGGAGGATTATGTTAGCTCTAGCTAATTAACATTAATAATTTGAAAACAGTCCAAAATCACTCTTGTGGCTTCCTTCTGCTTAATGTGCTCTCTTCAAGCTGGCGTCTGTTCTCAGCCAATGAGTGATTGTGAGAAAAAAGATGCTTTCTCTCCCATTACTAATTACGGTTCCTCAATTCGATACTGCCAATACTGAGTAATGATCCGATACAAGTGCTTTAGGTTCAAGAACTATACATCTGCAGAGTCACTTGATTGAGTACCACTAAAACCATTGTAAAAGTAACGGTCTGTAGCCATGATCTAAATGCTTGTGTCATATCATTTTAAGGAATAAAAACAAATCTGACTTTTGTTTTTTCGGCTCATCAAACTGTTATTTAAGCGTATCAAATGAACGGCTCTGGATCAGGACTTTGAATTTAAGTAGCTCATGAAATATGAGGTGTGAAAAGTTAAATCCGAGGAGTCAATGCGGCTTTAAATGTGCACATAATGTTTTGACTTAAATGTTTAGTGTTTCTGTCTTAGCCAACAAATGGTGTCCAAACAGAATTACACTTAAGTTTCAGCTATTTACTAACTTCACTTATTTATATTCTAATGGATATAATGAGATATGGTTTCAATAAAATGTCACTCAACCCTATCCCTATTCCTTAATTATTATTATTATAATAAAGGTGAATGACATGCAGTCTTTTTGAAATCAATGTATACTTGAACTGCATTAGCAGGACATCAAAATGCAGTATTGGTGTTCAGTGTGATGGATTACACAACTCGAGAGTCTGCCAACAGTCGAAAACTGCAGAATAAAACTCGACACTCAAAAGAAAATGCTGAAGAAAATGTAAAATATTTAGAGACATGAGGTGTGAGAGTGAAGTACTCCTTAAAAAGGTATTTGAACATCCTGTCTGTCATTGAAGAAATAACAGATGAGACAGTTTTCTCAACGAAAATCCGGGTTGTTCTATTTAAAGATTATCATTCCTCTTTTGAGTCATTCAAAGACAGTATGTGGGCACTTCATCGACTCACTGATGGACTAAATCAAAAATCTGTAAAGTGAGTGCAAGTATGCAACAAGTGGGTGTTCAGAAAACTGTTTTAGTGACATAACCAACAGCTAGAAATTGTTCGATTTGATCTGCCAAAAAGAGTGTTTTCTGAAAATGTTAGCCTGAAATCATTACATTTCACCACCAGAACACTGCCTGGCTCGTTGTTTTTTTTTAGTAAAAGCACATTATTGACACAGAACAAAGGGAACAACAGGCTGCTACACCCAAGCCAAACTAGAGGAATAAATGAACACCAGAAACCTTCCAAATAAAGCTACAGTTTGGCTGCATTTTGCTGCTGCAATACCAGAACTCCTTATATGCTCTGATTGTTGTAAAAAGAAATACAACTCGTTTGCTAGAGAGGAACAAAAGGCATTTGGGGGAATTTACTTTTTACTACAGCCCCAGACAATTCAATGTATTTCCTTCAGTGGCCAAAATACCTGCTGCAGAACTGTATACAACAGTAAGCACAGAGCTATTATGTGAAGACTGAGGCCACAGCAGAGAATACATTTGCAGAACAAATCGGGAGAGTCAACCTTTGCAGCAAAACACGAGGGTCCCAAAGGGAAAAACTCAGCGGGAGAAAACCCAGCATAGCAGCGTGGGAGGGAAAGAGCAGCTATCAGTAAACATCAAGCCGTTTTGCTAGCAGCAAAAAAAATCATCCATTTCTGTAAACTTGCAAGACTATCAACACCTCAGAAGCTGAGTCCTCTGAGCACTAGGATGCTGCAGGAAGGCGCTGACCCCAACAGAGCTGACATTTAAAAGAAGACAAGAGGGGACTCACGGTTTTGAAGTCGCTGTGGCTGCACTCCTGGCCTTGGTAACGGCAGTAGAGCATCATGTCTTTGAGGTCGTGGCCGACCCTCTCGATGAACTCCTTCATGCTGAACACCTTGGGCTTGTACTCGGTGAAGTTAGATCTCTCCTGGAGGAAAGCCAGCACGTCGGGCTCGGCCAGGTGAGGCTGGGGGATATTCAGGTGCACATCCAGCAGGGACAGCAGGTCCCCAGCGTGGTACAGATCGTTGCGAGTGAGGTGGGTGAAGCGGTAAGAGTTGAGGTTACAGATGGTCACAGCGGGGAACACCAGGGTGCTGGAAACCACGGCGTCCACGCTGGTCACATGAGGGTAGGAGAAGAAATAGGCCAGCCGCTCGGCACTCTCCAGAGCTAATAATCCCAGGCAGCCCAGCAGAGCCGCAGCCCAGAGCAAGCGGCGCACACTTGGCTGACCATAAGGGAAGATGAAACGCAGGCCGTGCAGCGTGCTGCTGTGAGCAAAGGCCTGCCAGGAGGTGGGGTGCAGGCTGGAGCTCTCTTGGCTCCCCTGACTGCCACAGCTCTCCTTTAGATCCATCATCAGCCCTCCAGCCACTCGGCCAGGGTGCCCCAGGTGCACTAACACCTGCAGAGACAGAGGGAAGGTCAATAAGACACTGAAATGCACAGTCTATATTAATCATATTGAGCATATTGATAAAGCAAGAGAAGAGCCAGAGAGAGAAACTGAAGAAATGTTGAAAATAGAGGCATCCAGAGTGAAATAGAGAGGAAAAAAGTACGAGGCAAAAACAGAGCCCTGCAGCAACAGTGACTGAATAAAACACACAAAAACTGAACATTTAAAGCAAAGCAACAACTGAACAGAAAGTATACACAAGGAGGCACAGACCTCCAGAACCCAAATAACTACTAAAGAGCGTGAGAGAAAGAAGAAAGAGGCTCCCTTCAGGGCATCCCTTTCCACTCTCATCACTCCCCTGAGCTGAGAGTTACTGTGGCTGCCAGCCCGCCTGTGGCTCCTATTATACCTCCAACACCCCACACACACGCACACAAAAACACACACTCCCTCATGCATGAGTGTGCACCCAAATTGACACGCACACATACGTCCAGGCTTTTCAGGATCTCCCATGCACCCAAACTAAATGACAAGCCTAAGCACCTCTCCGTTCAGCCTAGCGATAAGACATCCAGCCGGCGCGAGTGTGTGTGTGTGACCCTCAGAGCGCACGTGTGTGTTTGTGCGTGTGTGAAAGAGAGAAGGAGAGAGAGAGAGGGGAGCTGTTGATGATCAGTCGCTGGTTAGTCTTGCATGCCGATTCTAACTCCTCCTGTTTTCCTCTGGCCAGATACAGCCGCTTTCCCTCCTCTTCCCAGCTCTTCTGTGGCGGTGGCAAACAACAGCGGAGCCGCGAGAGACGCACACACACCACCACACATGCTCGCACAGAGGAGGAGAGAGAGAGGAAAGGGGGGGGGGGGGAGAGAGGAGGGAAGACGGCACTCTCCTCCTTTGCTCTCTCCACAGCAAAGTCACTTCTTGAATACGTTTCCTTTCTCCTCCAACACCACCACCTTCCTGCTCTCATTAATCCATCAGTCTTTCATATTTCCACATCTCGTCTGTCAAAGCAAACAGAGTGATGGACGGATCCAAAACGGAAGGCTGACGGAGAGACAAATAGTAGAGGGGAAAACAGTGGCGGTTGCTTGGTCGGGGAAGGGTGGGGGTGGGGGGTGTATGTCATGTGAAGTGAAGCAGAAGCAGAGATGGAGGAGTAGGAGGGTGGAAGGGAGGGATGAGGACAAAAATAAGATAGGAAAACTATAAAAAGAGCGAGCAAGTGAGCGAGGAAGTGCTGTCACACAGAGGGAAGTCATTCAGACAGATAATGTCACGTTCACAGGAGAGGGTATAGATGTAAAGAGAATAATAAGTGGGTTTGTCATGTGTAATGAAACACTGTTACTGTGCGCTGAGGCATTGTCTTTGTGAGTAGTAGTGTGTTTATCATTATTAGTCAGTATGTGCAGAGATTCAAGGGGAGGGCAAAAGGAAAATAATATAAGCATGTTAGGTTGTTAATATGTGGCGATAGATAGATGATACTGCAACCAGGGTGTATTTAAACAGAAAAGGAAAGGGCTATTGTAAATCAAATACATTTGAATTTCCCCTCATCAGATGAAGATAGTTAAAAGCTTCATAAAGTGGATTATGTCAATTGTGAGAGAAATGAAGCTTGTATGTATTTGGAAGGCAAGTGTAGAAGGGAAATTGAAAACTCAAGAATATGTAGTATTTTTATATTCCTTAAAATTGTATTATATAACTACAGCAATAAAGACGTTGGTATTGTGGGTTAGTATGGGTATCTGCTGATCCAATACTACAAATCACAGTATGATCCTGATCAGCCAGCTAACAGCACAGGAACAAACTTAACCTTCTCCAGGAAACATCACTTAACACCTTGTGCCAAATTCCCCGCCCCTCACTACAGAATACTTTTGTCTTGAACGCAGTTAAACTAATCTGACAGAGATCATAAAATACAGCCATAACAAAACAATGAAAGCAGCTGTAACAGCTGTGCCACACGTCATAATTAATGACATCGGTTTCAAAAGAGGGCTCCAAGGCAAGGATGTCTTATGTTGCTAAATGCCTGTTGCCTCGATTCCTCTCTCCTCTCTAATCACTGATGCTGACATCTACTTTGCTATGTTACTTTCCTGTATCATATCAATAATGTTCAAGCAAAAGGTCAAGTGGATTATTATCATAATCAGCAACACTACTTCACACTACTTGCACGCAATACATCTACCCCATTTGTAACAACACTCACTCACATTCTGTAAAAGCTTAGGTTGTCATTCCAACATGCCAATTCATCTGATATTCATTAACATAGCAACACGCTACGTTTATACCAGCAAGTCCAAAGAAAATTTCTTAGATAAACGTCCTTCTAAAATTGTGCATAGAATATCAAAAGATACCAACGTGTCTTAAAATCACAATGCGAACCACTCTTAATATTAGGTATGTGATTTAACCATAGAACTATATGAATGTAACTAAAGCCTACTTATGTTATATTACATCACGCCTTAGACACCTGCTATAGGATACATGCATCAGAAGACATTTCAATTACTAAATTATATTTAAACACACTTTAACCCTCCTGTTGTCTTCGGGTCAACAGTCATCTGACCGATGTATTACTTTCATCAATCATAACTTCTTTGTTTTCGATTGCATTAAGGCTTTATGATATCCTTCACAGTAGACATTTGAATATATAAAATTGCTGATCACCACTTTCATTGAATTTTGGATGATTTAGTCAACTTTGTAACCATGGTGTTGCCGGTCAAAAATGACCGCCATAAAGAAAAGGAATTAGAAAATATCCGGATCAGATAAAACACACACACACACGCACACAAACATATACTCTAGATGTGTTCCCCCCCTTATGTGCCCAATCCCCCCATGTGAATCACACCTGGCGGCACTCACAAACACACACACACACACACACACACACACACACACACACACACACACACACACACACACACACACACACACACACACACCAATTTGACACATTTCCCGCTCTTATGTGCCCATCCCCCCACATGGATCACACCTGGCACACGCAATACATGTTGAGTGTCTTCGTATACTGCAGTTGTTCATGTATACCAGTAGTCTTATACAATATTTACAGTTTGAAAGGGTGTTAAATTACATTTGGTGATGATTAATGGTGTTTGTGTTAATGTAATAGCAGTTAAAATAGGACTGGTCAAATTTGACCGCGAACGCCAAGGTTACAAGGCTACAGATATATTTGACTCTGCTCCTGTTAAATGGAATGTTCTAGCTGTGATGTATATTTATTATTTACTTAAATAGAATTCCCACAATGATAATGTATGTATTAGTATCAGTGTACACAACAGCCATTGTACAATATTTGTGTTAGATTTGTTTACAATGTCAGAGAAGAAAAATAGTAGGCTACTGTAAAATAAACACAGTATAAAAGTAAAAAACAGTAAAGGTTAACTTAAGCTTGGACACTGAATACATTGCTAGTGCTGATTTATTAAAACCTCTGACACATCCCCCAAAATGAGAGAAAATGTAACACATGGCAATTATAACACTGTTTCAATTTAAGATGCAAAACACCGTTTTCTTAAGGAACGTGTTCCTTGTTTAACACACGTGGAAATGTAATGCTAGCTAGCCTTTCTGCTAACTATCGGATAGCTAGCTAGGTTAGGTAGTAGCACATTCATATTTTAAGGCTAGCGAAGCATTCTAATTTGTCATCTTTTTTTAACACAATGGTGTTCTAATTACAACGTGTTCCATTGCGTAAAAACTGAATTAATACTCAATACCTGTCGATATATTACCATCAATTACAGATATCCGGGCGGTTAGCGAGCTCACCTGTTGTGCTGCAGGTGGGTGGCGTCGAGCTCGTCGTTTTAATCCTGCTTTTCATCGTTTCAAGAAATGTCATCTTGCATTTGAGAGTTCAATAGCTACGCGATATACAGATAATAGTTCAGGAGCTTGTGTCCTGCACAAACAATCTAAGGGAAATAATAGAAAAAACGAAATAGGTAAACACATTTGTAAAAATGGCAACCTGAAGTAATTAAGGATTACAGAATAAAAGCATATGACGTAGCTCATAAAACTATACTAATATTTTTGTTATGATGAGGACTGAGAAAAATATAGTACACAAATTAAAGCAACAGTTAAATTAATGCAAAACATCATATAGTAAAACACTAATGCTTATAATACTTACATACTTTTATCACACCAGAATAAGGCTCTGAATACAGGACTTCCACTCTTGTACTGGAGTATTTTTTTAGTGTGCTTAATCTTAATATGTTTTCTCTTTCACTGTTATATTTTGTTTATTACTTCCTCATATATGACAGCCATTTGTAAAATAGGAACCAAATGTACTGTCAAAGTATAGTGTATCTGTCCAACGGTCTCTGATGTAAAAACACAGGCATACATTTTGGTGGACACAACAATGGACCATATCAGTGGCAGTTAATGGATTTTTGTGTAACAGACCAAACACATTTCTAAAATGTTGACAACTTTTCCCATAATATCACACATTGTTGAAGCCAAGAATAAACAAATACACCAAAATAGTTTACACATTGTCACGTTGTCAGTATAAAAGGCTATTTTCAACGTTCATTTTATGGTATCTGATCATCACTTCACGCTTTCAGACAAAGTTCAGCAATTTGCTACAACACAGAAACCCCAATTAAAAGTATATAATGACTGAAAAGAGCATTTTATTTTCGTTTTTCTATAATTTACCCCATACAAGTCTTCACCCACACACACTGTCACTCCATCACAGTGTTCACAATGTGTTGTGGTCAAAGACAGCTGCAGTTGGTTTCTTATCAACTTAATTAAGCAAATCTCCTCTTTTTCCACTGAGGTAATGAGTATAGTTTTACAGGGATTAAACAGTCTCCAGGGTTGAGAATTAGGGCATTATGCTTTAGCAATCTCGTCTGCCTTTAATCCATCCAGCCAATTTTCCATCCACAGGATTATTTAAGGCAAGTCTTGTTAGCCTTATATTCTTCTCTTTTTAATTTGCAAGGTATTAGTGTTTAAATGTGCAGTACAACACTGAAATATGAGCCTTAGTTTATTCTTTCTGCCGCAGAGTAAAGGCATTCGTTTGCCTTCTTGACTTGGATTAACAGTAACCGTAGATAATCAGTCATACAGTTCAAATATGTCAAAGCAAATGTACATAAGAGCAGATGGTGTTGACTAATGAAAGGAAACCCCAAAAGAGTGTTTTAGTAAACCCACCAAGTACTAACAGAGCCACAGTCCTGGGAATGATTCTCCAAGTCTGATTAACTCTTGCAAATGTATTCCCTCATTTAGTGTTTTGATGATCATGTCTGACATGTTGCCAAATCTCCCATGAATGCTAAATTGGTCACTATGAAAGCCAAATCAAATTATTCACATCAAATGTATACTCACCGAATGCTTCTATGACTATGACCCCTCCTGCCCTGTGTGGAGGCATCTGTGTTGGCTTTGTTTTTTAACTTATTCAAGGTTAAGGTCTAAAGTCTCCCATTTGTATATAAGTACAACACTGTAAGCAATGTAAATATGCATTCTATATTATTTCTACAGAAAATAATGCATTAAAGAAACTGTGTAATGCTAGATTTCCAAATGATTCAAGATAACACATTGTCACAAGTTTTTCTGAGAAACATGTTGGAGAACACCAAATTAAGGAATATTTAATACAAGAATGCTGCTCACTTCATGTGTTTTCAAGTTAAAATAAATGTTAAAATGCATTCAACTTAGGTGAAATGTAATCACTGCTGATAGATGACAGTCATTTCAGTAAAAAGCATGTCCCAGCCTACCATGAAGTTAGCAATTATTATCTGACTGTGAAGGATCAACCAGGCAGTTGAGGGTGCAGGTCACCCTTGAAAAAGAGATCTTTTGATCTCAAGGGGCTTTCACCTGGTTAAATAAAAGCTACAAACAAACCACAAGGCTGAGCTTGTTAAAAAAGATGGCCGTTTGATATTTCAGGCCGCTTCATCCAAATCTCAGAGAGTTAGCAGTACTTTACATCAGAGATGAGAAAGTTTTCTACCCTCTTGGGTATCTAACCCAAACCACAGATAACTATTTTTTACAAATCCTTAAAAAGGGTGAGGCATTTATTAGACAGTGCATGGTGAGACTGAAAGAGTAATTACACTTTCGGACTATTTTAATGGCTTATGAAAAACAATAAGCTCTTACAAGACAGATAATTAGGAAGTGTGAGTACCTGAGTTGGCAAGACAGGGCACAGTTGATGTTTTACCTCTGGCAAGACACGGTTAAAGTTGAAGGGCAAATTATTTTCAGAGTGTGATCAGTAGCTGCAGAATAGCTGAATCGGACCTCCTTCCCCTTTTGATGAGGTCTTAATTGGTTGATGTGTAGATAACCGAAGTAGCAACCCGGTCTGAACGTGCACGCACATACACGCACTTTCAAAGAGCCTTCTCCTATTTAATTCAAGTTTCCCTCCAATTAAAAGTGTTATCTTCAGGTCTCTTAGCTGTCTCTCATAAGCTCATGAACTTGACTAATGATGTCCACTAGGACCGGAGCTGCCAGCGTGGGTGTTAAATGCTACCCCCTGCTGGCTTTATTTCTAAATCAAATAATAATAGGAAAGTCATTGTTTATGCTTATTTGAGATGTTCTATTTTTCTTTTACATTGAATGGACTTAATGAATAATTGTGAAAATAATAGGCGGATTTATTGATGATTAAAATAATCTGTAGTTGCAGCCTTAATGCATTTACAGACTATATTGTAAACTGTTCTAATTTCAGCCAATTAACTCGCATTTGGGATGATATACAATGCACCTTATTTCATCATTCCCACTTCCTCTTTCAAAATTAGTCCAGGAAGTTTCAGCAGCTGCAGTATACACCAAATAACTAAGAGCCAGAGGATTAACCAGATTTATTTTACAGTGAAGAAGAGTAGATGATGAGTTGGGAAATCCTCCATAAGAGCCTGTTAGTCACGGTGTAACTCCACTCTGATGCTCTGGCTCTCTACAGACAGGGCCTGGTAAACCCTTTTTAAATCAAGCAATCCTCATGTGGCTGAGATGCACCTCTAAACGCATGGCAAACAAGATGGGTCACAGTGACCCAGTTACTCCACTGCAAGCTTCGGAAAATCCCAACTGAAAATGGAGTGCAGGCTGACAGAAAAGCCTCTCTTTGGGTTCTTTTTGCAGGATTACCAAATCAATGCTTTGTAGATAGATTCCTTTATTGCAAGATCACTTAATTAAAGTGCAACAATAGATAACAATGAAAGAGTATCTGCCAAAATACACCAACGCAGACAATCTCAGAATTATTCTTTGTGAGAATATAAGACGTGAAGTTGAAAACAAACAGCTGATTTCAGGAGCTTTTGCAAGTGATTAATGAGCATGTGTTGGCTTCGAGTGACTGCTTCTTAAAACAAATCCATCTCCAGTGATGCAGAGAAATGACAGCATCAACAAATTAACTTTTCTCTGTGATATTTATGAACTGAAAATGTAACACAGACTCCAGTCGGTGGAGACGGTGTGTGCAGGAGGTTTGCTGATGGGTTATCAGAGGCTGTAGGTGTCTTCAGGTAAGTCTCCCAGGAGTTCATCCAGGTCATCATCTGCACAACAGACAGATAAGAAGATTAAATAATGTGCAAATCAAATTCAACTTGTAGAAAACTAAAAAGACTTCTTTGGGCATGTTTGCCCTTATTGGACATCAGAGTGCAGAGATAGAAACACTGGGATTGGTTCTAGCATTAACTATTCAGGTATTTGTTGATAGTAAATGTTGCACCAAATATTGGTGTTTTTCGATTTGGTTCTTCTATTGAGGTATCCAATTAAGCTTTGAACATCTTTGACATCATCATAAAAATATTAAAGTTTGTGAACAAAATCCTTACATTTCAATGAGGTGACATCTTTTTAAGAATAATTTAATTTTCTTTAATAAACAGAACCTGGTCGAGTCGGGTGCGTGCCTCCCTTTTTGTGCGGAAAAACACTGCAGTGAAACTTTTTGAAAAGCTCAATAGCAAGAAATAAGAATTAAACAATGTTTTTGAAGCATTTTGTTAGTTTACATGTGGATTCTGGGAATAATTACATTCATAATTGTTCAATGATATTGGTTTTGACAAGCTCTGGAGTTAATATATGTACATTATCTTACTCAAAGCTCTTTACAGTATTGCTTCTCATTTATGAGCTCACGCGCTCTACCCAATGGCAGCGAGGCAACGTCCAATGGCTGAGCACTGCCAGCTATCTACGTGAGTGAGCATCTGTCTTTGTCTACGGCTAATCATGCATCCTACTGAACCAATCATCCTACATTTTTCAGAATTTCATAACATTTACTGAGTGTATCAGTAAACAGTAATTAGTATCTGTCTGGATTATTTTACTCTGGATAGATCTTTGAATGATGCAAAGACATTCAGATCCATGATGCAGTTTCCCGTGAGGAGCTTGGCTGGTCTCCATGTTTTCTATAATTATTACAAGAAAAAAGAGTTGGCCGCTGATCAGACTAATCATTGTCATTTCGAAAATACAAATTACAGCTCTGCTACCATGTGCCTCCACTTTGATATCGTTCTGCTGACTGAATAATGAAAATAAAAAGCAGATTAATCAAACTGAAAAACATTGATTAGCTTCCGTTTCGGTTAAGAACAATGCAATCAGAAGCTTTTGTCACGCTGCAGTTAAGATTGGGTTCAGGTCAACGAGTCAAATGTTAATGTGACAAAACGTTACCAGACGGTGTTTCAGTTTCACTCATCAAAACATCATTTTCCTGGAGTTTACACTTGTCAACCCCAGGATGTGACTAGAATGAATCACTTCCTCTCCTCACAAGTGTTATTACATATAAGAGGCCCCCACCTGCATCCCAGCCTGAGTCCTGTGCTGCTGTGTTCCCAGCATGCTCTCTGCTGGGGCCGGCTCTCGTGTCTCTTGGGGTTTCCGCGTCCTCACGTATCTCCGAGCATTTTTCCCCTTCTTGTCCCTCATCATCGTCCTCGTCAAACACCAGCTGCATCCGAGACACGGGCTCCCGGAGGACGGTGGGGGGGGGACCTGCGGGGGACATCGGCTCCTGGATAGGAAAAACATGTTTTGTCAGCTCAAAGGATTTTTTCTGATTGGATATTTGTTGGGCTGTTATATTTTTGCTTTCAGCTGACAGTCGGGGGTGCTCACCAGGAGGAGCGGGTGGAGCTGAGTGGAGGACAGACTGACTCCATTAGGGCCGTAGATCTTCAGCAGGTTGTTGGGCGTCACGTTCAGGTAATGGTTACGATGGGAAGGGGAAAACACACCCACCTGTCCACAAGAGGCAGCCACAAGTCAGATTGTTAACCACTTTACATTTAAAGGTCACCTATTAGGCAAAATCCACTTGTTCATGTCTTTTATACATAAACATGTGTCCCCTCTGTGTGAAGAGATTCTGAAAGTTTCGCTCACTTTTTGTCCTGATCCATTTATATAAAAACGTGTCTGAAGATGAGCTGATCAGATTTTGGCCACTTTATGATGTCATAACGATGTTTTGGCTTGTGTAACCATTAGCCAATCACCAACCAAGGTAACACCCCCGTAGCAGTAGCACAGAGCCCGGCCAGGATCCGCTGGAGCCTGAGGTGAGGAGTTTATGTTAACGTGCATAATTGCGTCCTATTCTGCCGCATTGGACTTGGTTACACGTGCAACAGCATTTAGAATAACTTTAAAGAAATAGCCAATCTTCTCACTTTTGGTCTTGTTTGCTTATGCAGGTCTTATAAAAGGTATCGTAGTAGTAGTAGTACATTGAGACTGTTTCCTAACCAGTTCCTCATCATTACTTTAATTTTAAACGTTACAGAAGCGGTGAGTCTCACCTGTTTGAGCAGCAGTACAGCTCCCACCTTCAGCTCCTCCACTCGGTCTTCTAGGAGGCGCCGATGAATCGTTCCCTGAATCTCCCCTGCAGCCAGGAATATTGTGCAAAAAGAGAAAAAAAATGATCATTTAAAAACATAGAAAGCTTGCATTCCAAAATGTCGACTTCCTGTACATCCCATATTTCCAAAGTAAATGGGCAAGTTAGACCTCCAATACTAAATATGATCAAATATGCTTTCTTTAAAGGTGACATGTCATGCTTTTCCGGTTATTACCCGTCCCCTTGTGTGTTATGAAGGTTTTTCTGCATGTAAACGTTCTGCAGAGTCAAAACCCTCAAAGTACACCCTGTAGCGAGTAAAACTCTAACACAGAAAATACCTCCCCAAAACGCCTCCATTTGATTCTTCCGGGTACGTGCTTTACTAAATGGGCCAATCCGCGGAGCCGTTACGTTAAGCCCCCGCTGATTGGTCCAAATTCACCAATACACACACACACACACACACTCAGTGCAGGCAGCCCTGCTGATTTCTGCTCCCTGCTGCAGGCTGATAACAGACAGTTGGGATCGCGCGAAAGTCTCTCTGCAGA